AAGTTAATCTCAATACTTCCTTTTCCAGCAACATCTGCCGCAACATGGTTTCCCATCAAGACTTGTTCAGAATCCTGCACTTCTGCATATGTCTTAAACATCTTCTTGTCATAACAGACATGAATCGTAGCACCCGAATCTAGCCACCAGTCTTGAGTATTTGTAGCAGCGGTAGCCACATTCAACTCTGTGACCATACCAATTTGCATTGCGGAAACCATGGCAACTAGTCCTTGGGCAGAATTTTCCACTAAGTTTGCCTTTTCAGAATTTCCAGATTTTTTAATCTTTCCAGACTTTTCGGTTTTGCCTGCATTGAAATTTATTCCTGCCTTTCTATATCTGCAGTCCCGAATCATATTGTCTTTCTTTCCACAATGATGACAACTAAAGTTCTTTCTCTTTTTAGAAGAAGACTTTTTGGAAACTTTCAGATGTTTGTTCCCACTTCCTGAATCATTCTGACTGACAAAATTGACTGCGGAACTCGAAGGCTGACTAATAGCATCACGAGCACGAGTCTCACTTTCAATTTGAATGTGAGTACAAAAGTGTTCCACAATCATTTTATCCATAGAATGTAGGATTTTCTTTCTATAGTCATTCCAAGAGGAAGGCAATTTCGAAAGAATAGCACCTATTAGAAGTGCATCAGGAATTTTAACTTCAAGATCACTTAGTTTTGATACTAAGATTTGCAGTTCATGAATCTGATCCATTATAGGCCTAGTATCAAATATTTTAAATTCAAAGTACTACAGATCCAGGAATTTGTCAATACCTAGCTTTTCATTCTGGTATGCAGTTTGTAGAGCAGTCCAAATCTCTCTTGGCGACTTCAGATTGCAGTAAAGATCATAGAGTCGATTTGTCAAAGTATTCAGAATATGGCCGCGACACAACAGTTCATCATGTTCTCGTTTCTTCCTTTGTTCCTTGACTACGTCAGAATCTTCTGCTGTGGGCTCAGGCATCAGAGGCAAGGCAGAATCAAGAACATAGTAGATATTGAGAGCNNNTGCAACCAATAGACCCTTTCAGAAAAGATGTCTTGTTTCACAAACAGACACGACTATTTATTCGAATTTTGAATTTAAAATTCAAATAAATAATTAACTCTAGGATCTCGTGCCTGTTGAGTTAATCTCGTGCCTGTTGAGTCAGTCGTGTGTCTGTTGAGACAATCTCGTGCCTGTTGAGACAATCTCGTGCCTGTTGAGCCAGTCTCGTGCCTATTGAGACAATCTCGTGTCTGTTGAGTCAGTCTCGTGCCTGTTGAGACAATCTCGTGCCTGTTATGTGCTATTTCATAATGATCAGTTCCGAGGCTAACAGGCACGGTACGAGTAAGGTCGGTCCCGGGAGTGTTTCACATGACAGGCACGGAACTTCTTTCTTCCGATGTGGGAAGAATCCAACTTCCAACTTGCCAATAACAAACTATCTTACAAAAAAAACTGAGGCGTTAGAGTTGTTTCGTGTTTAGCTACGGGTATTTTTGTTAAAATATTATTTTCACCTTACAAATGGCTATTTCTTAACATTTTAAATGGTGGCTAAATATTAACAAGCAGTCCAAATATTGGCTGCCCCAGCTAATTAAGCCTTCTTATTCAAGAATGTAAAATCATGTAGTTCTTATAGATAAATATTTGGGTTATTTCACATAAAATCACTAAAAATAACATAAGAGATCTGTAAAAATAATAGGGTGATCTTTGTAAGATATTTTCTTATCTATTCAAATTGTTAAGAGAGCATCCGATATCATTGCATCCCTGCAAGCCAAAATGTTCTTTTACGTGGAATTTTCAAATGTAATTACATCAATATAATAAAAAGGGTCGTCTTGAAAAATTACGTTGCCCTATATGGAAAAAAAAAAAAGGAAAAAAGTTGCATAAGCAATTCTGTTAATTTGTTAATTCCCACTTTGCAGTCCCTATGGCTTTTTCACATATTTTTGGGTCTACTCACATAGTATATTAAGACACAACTCTTCAGTAAAGAACTAAGCTAAAAGAAAGGTTGGGTTTTTCATTCTCTCAAGATTAATTTTACAAAATGGAACATCTTAACAGTAAGCTACACCTAAAACACGTGTTTTGACTATTTTGTTATTCCAATTAATGATTTAAAGTGCCAGAACGTGCCTATAATGTAGGAAAGGCCATTATTCTTTGCACCCTCTAAATGACCAAGAAATAGCACATAAAAAGGTCTGAATTACGTTCCTTACGTTGCTGCCGCTTCTATAACAGCTTGTTTGAATGGCTGTTACTTATCGTTTTATTACTTTAAATATAATGTTTGTTTTAATTGTTATTTAAATTTTATTGTATCGTACCGTTAAATTCATCGTTACGTAACGACAAAATGTACCACTTTATGTAACGACCAATTTGGTGTGGTCGCGTCGTTTCCTTGTATTTTTCTCTCAATCTCACCCTTTATTATTATTCAATAATTTTATTTTATCATTTACTCTATCTTTTTATATACCATATCATAACTTTTCTTTATAATATTGCAAGTTTATTCATTATATTACTGGTGCGTGATACCATGTAATGACGGCAAAATGATTCCAAACATTGTATTCATCAAACGATACAGTACAGTATAATACAATACGATACGATATATTATGAAACGATATGTAACAACCATCCAAACAAGCTGTAAATAGCCTTGGGCACCCTCAATTAATATATTTAAAACATACGACTTTACAATTACGCTTAATTGCTGTCACTTTAAAATAAATCCATCAACTGTTATGTAATAATCTGTTGACAAGCGAAGTCTGGGTTCATACACTACAATATATTCTCCGTCGCAGTTTATAGTTTATGTGATATACTTTCCTTCTTAGTCAATCTCAAAAGAGTAAAATTATTTTATATTTAGTAATAATAAATTTTACAATACTAGTTACTAGGAATGTACATGGACCGGGTTAGTTCGATTTTTATCAAAACCAAACTAACTATATCGATTTGGATTGGTTCGATTTTATCAGGTTTTTAGAATTTTTTATTGTATGAATATTATTTCAATCTTACTTTATTAAAGTTATAGATAAAGTTTTGATAAGTGAATATATATTTAGTAAAAATTGAAGAAATTGACAAACATATGATCTATTAATCTATTCTTATGGGAAAATTTTTTTAGAACACATGATAGTTATTTTCTTAGTCGTCTAACAATATTTTTTTTTTATTGATGTTTGCTTTCAAGGTTAACCGAATTTAATAATTAAACATAAAAATCAATATGATACCAAAATAATGATATATTCTATTTAATTTTAGATTATCAAAATATCATTTCAAATTTTAAATATAAGTGGGAATATACTGGATCTGTTATTATTGTTATACGATTTCAAATTTGAAAAAAGATATAAGACATCTTGATATATGAATAAGGAAGAACAAAGAGATGATTGACTCATTTCAATAACTCTTGATAATAAAGTGATACAACAATTAGTTAAAGCAAAATAAAAATGAATACACTTCATAGTTCTCTGATATATTATATCTCATGACAGGATCCCAAATATTTCTAGATATTTTCTTATAGAAAATTTTATATAGAGTTATAAAAATATATATAAAATTATATATTTATATGTCGATTTGGTTCGGATTTTTTTTACTCAATACTCAACTAAATCAAACCAAACCTAATCGGATCGTTAATCGATTTGGTGCGATTTTGGTTTGAATACCCCTACTAGTTACCTTGAATGAGATAATTTATATGTTTTGTGACTTTATTGATACCAAAACAATAAAATTTAGTGACCATGTGTGAAATTAATCCTCCAAATGCCCACCCCATTTACGTTCGTATCGCATTTGTGAATGCAAACACATTATTCCTAGAAATTATGATAGTAACTCTCATAGGTTAATGAACAAAGAAATCGTTGGTAAAAAATAAGAAAAAATCCCTTTGTCAAATATATGTCTTTGTCCAATTTTATTTAGAAGCTTTTGACGGCTAATTAATTCTATATAAAGGCTACAAGTTCTGAATATTTTCTAACAGATTTGCTTTCTTATCACTATCTGTTACTATTCCGAAGAAGAAAATATGGGTTTGAAAGGCAAGTTGGTAGTTTCAGTGGAGGTGAAATGTGGAGGTTACTTGTTTCATGACCTTTATCAAACTAAACCGCATCATCTATCCAACATAAGCCCTGATAAGGTCACAGGTTTTGATCTTCATGAAGGTGGGATTTGCGAGGTTGGTTCTGTAGTTACCTGGAAATATAAGGATGGTAAGAACAAAAACCTATTCGCTCTATGTGATTCAATTTGATGAATTTTAAACATAAATGAAATTCCGTTCTTTTTCCTGTAATATCCGCATGTTGCAATATTGCCTCACATTAGGTGCTTGAAAAAGACTTCTATGAAATAATGCAATTTCAGTCTCTGTTACTGGAATTCTTCAATGTTATGAGTTTTGTGTTGGATCTTTTAAAAATTATTTATTTTTGGAGCATATGACAAAGGTGCAACAACATTTTAAAAGGATCCAGCTACATAAAGTCCATTTATACTGAATTTCTCATAACTTTTAGAGAAAAACAAAATATAAAAAGTGAGAACAAACATAATAAATGAAATAACGATTATCAAGACTCACACCCTAATAATACCGATGAAAGTCTCTCACATAGGAGCAATAAGTATGTAGAGGAATCTTGTTGTCTACCCTCCCCTAATTTCCCTTGTGTAATAGAAAATGAACTTAGAAATCAAATACTAGTTTTTTTGTTGTTGTAAAAGTCCATATCTTTTGCGAGTAAATGGACGTTGAGCTAGGGTTTACATCTCTTTATATTTTTGGATCTCTTTTTATAATGATTGTAGATGGAAATGAGAAGATTGCTAAGTGTGTCATTGACGAAGTCATTGATGATGAAAAGAAATCAATCACATGGAAAGTGATAGGAGGAGATCTCTTGGAAGCGTATAACACTTTCACTGTTAACATTTCATGCGATCAACATTGGATTACATGGACACTTGTGTATGAGAAGAAGACTGAAGACACCCCCGAGCCTCTAACTTTCTTTGGATATGTCACTGATCTAACTAAAGATATAGAGGCTCACCATGTCGAGAAATAGAAGAATACGCGCTATTTGATATGGCTGATCAAAATATGTGTGTTTGTGATATGAGTATTGGACAATATTGGCTAGTAATTGAATGTGAAATAAATAATAATGGTGTGTTGAAAAATAATAATGTCCAAATGTCAATCTATTATAAGATGTTAATTAATACAATATGTTTGTTCAGTGTGCCGTGTATGATAATGCTGTGTTGGACAATATTAGCTAGTCCTAGAATATAGACTAAATAATAATGTTGTGTTGAAAAATAAATCGCTCTACTTATGTTTCTATGGATGTATTTCCAAATGTCAGTATTATGGATTTTTGCAAACTAACTGTTTGTTCAGTGTGTTATATGTTTTCATTCTTTTTCAGCCACCTTTTTCTTTTTTCCTTTGTTTTTTTTTCGGTTTCTCTCGCTAGTTCTAAGATGGGAATTAACACTTATAATTATTAAGATAAACTCAAATATGTTAGTTAGTTAGATTAGTACACTTCATCTTATCTTAGATAAACTGATAAACTAACACTATTCATAGCCATCTGTGGATTCTTATTCCTTTTTCTTCCAAAAAAGAATAAAATCGGACAATACTCATAAAAACATAATTGAAATGCCTCAACATTATATGATCAGTTTTCAAGAGTTGCGAGTTCACTTATATGTTTTTTACTGCCACTTTGCCTTAGAATAAACGATCTGGATGAGACGACAAACACTACTAAAAATAATATATACTGCTTTTTCTAGGGAAACTGGGTTTTCGACAAAAAACCAACGGATTGAGGCTTGCTGGAAAGTAGCGGCTGGTAGGGGGGAAGTGCACGGTTAGCCACTAATAAAACATATATTTACTTTTAAGTCGCTGTTTAAAATGTATTTAATTTTTAGTCACTGCTTTAATAAACGTTAACTGCCCGGACGAAAATATCCTTCTGCTCATATCCTTAACTTTTGAACTTATCTTCAGGACTTCAGGACTACATGTCCTTAACTTTTGAACTTGTAACTGTAAGTTCAGGACCAAGTGTCCTTAACTTTTGAGCTTGTTAGTCTAAGTTTAGGACCTATTGTCCTTAACTTTTGGGTTTCTTAGCTTAAGTTCAGGACCTATTGTCCTTAACTTTTGAGCTTGTTAGTCTAAGTTCAGGACTTCAGGACCTATTGTCCTTAACTTTTGAACTAGTAACTGTAAATTGAGGACCTATTGTCCTTAACTTTTGGGCTTCTTAGCCTAAGTTCAGGACCTATTGTCTTTCACTTTTGAACTTGTTATTCGAAGTTCGGGACTTCAGGACCTATTGTCCTTAACTTTTGAACTTAACTTCAGGACTTCATGACTACATGTCCTTAGCTTTTGAACTTGAAACTCTAAGTTCGGGATGCCACTTCTCCCCCTCCGCCATCAAACTTGTATTCGTACTCTTCTCCAATGAAATTGAAGTTGTAAGTTTCCTCTAAGATTCCTTCTCTATCATGGAAAGGAAATTGAACAAATTCCTATTTATGTTGTCATATCTTAATCAAGTTTCTTATGTGTTTCTCGATAAGTAAATTTACTCCTCCATCCAAATTAATTGTCTTACTTTTATTGTGAACTGGCCCAAATGCTTCATTCACAATTCAATACTTGTTTCAGTGTTTTGGTTTTTGGAAATAGAGAATAACTTTTGTTTTGAGAAACTAATTTTGTGTTTACAATGGAGAAGACAAAACTGGTATGCAGATTATATGTTTGAGTGAATGCTTAACTGAATCTGTAGTAAAATTGGTGTTTGAGAGAAGAGAAATTAGGAGCGAGGGTTACTGATAATAGGCTATATAGATGTGATTTACACTCTAAATGAACCATACTTTACTGTTGTTTTAAATACAAAATGATATCAAAATACTCTAATTGGTGTTCTTTTTCTTTGCAGGAACTAATCCAAGTTAGGAAAGGACTATGGAGTGTTTTGGAGTAAATAATATGGATATACGGCCAATCAAGAAGAACCCGAACAAAAATACGCAAGAAAGAGGCAAAGGAGGATTGGACAAGAGGCCACCACGACCGCGGCTAGAACATGGTAGGCCAAACGATTGAGGCAGAATGGTTGCATTTCACCGCGGTCGCGCCGCGTTCTAGGGGTGGGCATAAAATCCGAAAAACCGAATTCCGAACCGAACCAAATTAATTTGGTATTTCGATTTCGGTTTTTTCGGTATTTCGGTTTAATTCGGTACAGGATATTCGGTGTTTTGGTATTTCGATTCGGTTTTCGGTATTATAATTTTACAATTTCGGTACACCGAAATACCGAAATTTTGGTGAACCTATATAATATATATGACTATATCTAAGTTCTAAGCTCAATTACCTATTTAATAGCCCATGCCCCATAATCCCATACCGTCTCCCGGCGTCCCACCCACCCAGGCCCAACTCCTCTAACTCCCAAGCCCAATCCCAATCCCAATCAATTACCCAAGACCCAAGTCAGTTAATAGTATACCCAAGACCCAAGTCGAGAATCAAATTAGGCATTCTCATCAATGTAGGGCAGCCATTAGCCATTACCCATTAGGGCTTACTGCTTAGGAAGGATATCATCGAGAAGAAGAAGACGAGAATCGACTGCGA